GCTATTATGATAAATATTTAAAAATTACATTTCAAAAAGAATCAGGCTCATAAATTTAGGAAGGGTATTCTGACAGAAAGAGAAAAGTAAGCTTCTTCAACATGGATCTATGTCCCTGCAGAGGAAGAGCAAAAAAGCCTGGGCAAAGGTCAACAGCATCAGAAAGATGAGGAAGGGGAAGAAGCTGGAGATGAGGAGGATGGCGATGGAGAAGAAGAACCACCAGAGAAACCACCACATCATCCTCGCCCCCCTAAACCTGGAAAACCACATGGCCCACCCCAGGAGGGAGATGAGGAGAAACCTCGTCCTCCTAAACCTGAAAAACCAGAAGGCCCACCCCCGGAGGGAGATGAGGAGAAACCTCGCCCTCCTAAACCAGAAAAACCAGAAGGCCCACCTGAGGAGGGTGGTGAAGAAGAGGCAAGTAACCTCTAGAAATTTTCTGCATAAATAAAAGTTCATCAGCACGACAAAAGTAATAAGACACTTTATCATTCTAACAAAGATGTGGGATTCCCTCTGCTTGCTGTGAATACCATTGGTTTATAGGAAGCTTCTTTGGGTCTATAGATAGGGCAGAGTAGAGCTAGGCAGGGAAACTAAACTGAATGATGGGAGAAAAAAGGCAGAGTCAGTGAGAAGCCATGGAATTGCCAGAGGAGAAAGGCACAAGCCCCAGCTAGAACATTGATGGCAGGTCACAAGCTCGGTGGTGATGAGCAACTTTACGTAGATGGGTTAGTTTAGGATATAAGAGGTATCTAGCAATGCTCTTAAATGGTGGACCAACCAGTGATTTAAATAATATGGTTTCTGTATGCGTATTTTGGGGCTGAACACTAGGGAACAGATGAATAGCCTCCTGCCAACAGCACAGTCCCAAAGTCTAGAGATCACCACAGTCTTCCAAAGGGCAAAGATACTTTATATATCGAAAACATTAAAGTCCTCTATACCTTGATTTCTGTGACAAATGTTATTTAAAGTCAAATGTCAATCAAATATCTGAATACTAACAGAGTTAGATATCCAAAAAACTAACAGATATCTCAGAAAATGTTTGTATTGTATGCTAGATCTTTATTCTTCCTTACCTTATTTATCTGTTTATTTGTTGCAGGAGAAGTAGAAAACAATTACCTTTAATGTCATTCAAAGAAGAAATGATGTTTTAAGAGAACCTTCAAAACTCCAATAAAATATTTAGCTTGCAATTATTCTTTGTTGTTTTCTTGGTCTGAGCATGTATGTGTGAAATCTGGGGACTGTGGCCAAACCAAAGGAATTATAAACCTCTTTATTCAGTTCCATTATAAGAATTCCTACTTTCTCCATTTGTGAATCAGTTGACTATTATTTGAGAGACCCCTTTTTTCTTCTTATTAGGAGTACTGCTCAAACGTTGCTGTATTTCCCAGATATTTCTGATATTACCAGGAAGCTTAACATAAGATATGATTTGTAATAGTAAAATTTCTAGAGCAGAAGGAAGGAGAACATGAACAAGCTAGTCAAGACCACAAATGGTGTGCCCACCCACTGAGATGATGGGGTTTATCTAATGGGAGCTCACCAAAGTCAGCTGGCCTGGGACTGAAGGAGCATGTGATCAAACTGACTCTCTGAACGTGTTGGACAAGGAGGGCTGACTGAGAAGCGAAGGACTTTTGCACTGGGTTTTGAACCTACTGCATGTACTGGCTTTTTTGGAGCCATTTTGTTCTGATGCTCACCTTCATAGACATGGATGGAGGGTGGAGGACCTTGGCCTTCCCACAGGGCAGGGAACCCTGACTGCTTTTTGGACTGGAGAAGGAGGGGGGAGGTAGGGAGGCGGAGGAAAAATGTATTAGGGAAGGAGGTGGTAATTTTTAATTAAAATTAAATGTAAATATTTAATATACAAATATATAAATACAGAGAGAGAAGGGGGGAACTACATAAACATGCTCTTAGTATATTGTGCATGTTCTTTGACCAGAGCCTTATAGAAAAGCTGGCCAGGAGAACCTGCAAACTGCATCTTTGTTTCTTTTTTCACATCTAACACTCTCCCTTCAAAATTTACCTGTTAGGAAGTTGCTGTTAGTGTAGCTGGTGTTCTTTTGTACGTTCAAATATCAACCAGCTCACATTTTTCGGACAGTCTTACATATGTAATGGTTTCTGGAGCCCAGATGTTCATTGTTTTCATCTCCCTAGATTTTTTTTAAATACGTAAATGGTCTTAGTTGGCATAGGAAATTTTTAAATATTTTATGTATACCTTAGAGCAATCCTTCCATCTTAATTATTTAGGGTTTGTAAATGCTCATTCATTGATCTTTAAATTTTGTTGAATTTTAACTAGAAAGGTAAATACAAGATGTTTAAATATTCAACATATTGAGAAATTCTTAAGGAAAGAGTTGAGCTTTAACATTTAAACTCTTGATTTACTGGTTTTGAATGCTCTATTAATTTTTTTTGCATTTTACTTAGATCATGTTCTTCTTTTCCTCCTTTCACATAATTTTTTGTGAAAACTAGAGTGATCTTCATGAAAGTAGCACAGTAGGAGATTCATGGAAATGATAATTTGGCATCATTCTGAAATTTGACACTTCAAATTCTGTTGGAATAATTCTTTGATTGGCCATGAATCCAATATGGCAAGAGCAGTATAGACGAAATGCCAAGATAGGGTAAAATTGATACGCATATTCATTGACACAGACTAACAACATTCATGTACAATATTGACAAAGCTGCATGTCATATTGAAAGCCATGAATTTTCATGACTGTCAGTATTCTAAATGATTCATCAAACGTCCTTCTGGTCGAGAAGAGTCCTCTGGTTATACATTAGCAGGCTTTTTATGTCTAAACCAACATTATCACCAATCCTAATAGTTATAATATCTTCTTTTATAAGAAGAGAATATAATCTCTTTGCAGATAATCCAAGAAACTCTATTATATATGAAATTAAGCTGGAAGCCATAGTTTTGACTTGGATGCATGAGAGAGGAAAAAAATCTAAAAAATTCCGCTAATATTTGACAATTTGTGAATAAATAAATCATAATTAATTAAGAGGCAAAATATTTTATTAGGCAAATAATTATCAGGCAAATTCTTACAATTAGT